GTTTCATGGAGACCTTCTAGAAGTCGAAGAAGAAGTAGTTGATATGATGAAGCAATTACCAAGAAAGAAAGAGGAGAAAATTGAGCAAGTTTTGAATACTGAAGGCTTTCAAACTTGAAAGGGTTCCTATCGCCAATTTCTAGTCAAATGGAAGGGCAGACCATATTCTGATAGCATGTGGATTTCTGAGCAAGAATTCAAAAGGGTGGATCCAGACTTATATCACATTTATACTGAAGCCAACTCGCCGGAGTCGAGTTCTTTTTGACTGAGGGGAATGATGAAGCCATGCCCCAGCCGATGGTTCGTAGATGGGCCAAGAAGGGTCATAGGACCCAAGACGGAAAGAAATGGACAATGATGTAATAAGGGGTGATTATTAAGGTCGAAGGACCCAAGAGGGAAAGAAAGAGGCAATGATGTAACAAGGGAGGATTATCAGGGTTATTTTAATTTTTATTCTTTTGATAAGAATAGAGAGTGCGCAGGGATAATTGGGTTAGTTAGTTTCGAATATAAATAGGATAAGGTTAAATCTATGGGAAGTTTTATCTTTTCAATAATAGGTTGGTTTTGGATAAAAATGTGGGAAGCTTTACATAAAAACGTGGGAAGCTTTGGATAAAAACAAGGGAAGTAAATCTTTTGGTACATGAAGTTAAAGAGAGGAAAAATAGGGATGAAAGAAAATTCGGAGGATAGATAAAATAGGAGTGTACGTAGAGAGGGTTTTCTTTTGCTTATTATTATTATTATTTTATTAGTCTATTTAAAAGGAGGTTTCCCTTCATTGTAAATTAGAGTGAATTAATTGAATAGAATTTGGTCTCGAGAAAAGATGGTTTTGGGGTGGATTCCCTTGCAGAGATTTGCGAGAGGGTATAGTCTCTCGATCCTTCTGCTTTTATTGTTATTTTCCGAAGTTTATTCTCTCCATGCATCAAAATTTGAGATAGTTTCTCTCTAAAAGTTTTGAAATAGTTTTTTATCTTAAAATTCACTATAGTTTCATGATATGATGTATGAGCTAGCACTCAGGATCATCTCTCCTAAGACAAAAGACGGCCTGAAGTTCTTAGTGCGAGCCCAAGCTTCATTGAAGGAGGCTCCAGAGGCTACTGATTGGGAAGAAGTAGACATAATTGCACTTTCAAAAATTGAACTTGAGGCTCTTCCTGAATTGTCACAGGTTGGTTACCCAAAACTTGCTACCTTGCTGCTTAACAACAACGACACTATTGTGGCCATCCAGTCAAGCAGTTTATTTGAATGCATAGAATGCCTTCGCATGCTTGATCTTACTTGGACATGGATTGATTCTCTTCCGTCTTCCCTGTCATATTTAGTGGATGCCCATATGCTCATATTTGGACTTGTTTAATTGTTGGAGTAAGCATAAAATGCCTGAAGGGATGGGAGATCTAATTAAATTAAGATACTTAAATTTGAGACAAACAATTTTTAAATCCAAGAGGGGTGTTCACACATTTGCTTAAGCTAGAGGAGTTAGACGTGTTTGGTACGGTTGGTATAAAATGGAGAGTGGATGATGATGAGGGGGAAGGAGATGGGAGTGGGTCTGAGGGAAAGCCATTGTTCATAACATAAGGGAGTTGACCCAATTAAATCATTTGAGCAGGCTTATCATTGATCTGAAGTACATTACCATTTTTGATTGGTTCAAGCCTATAGCCAGGAGCATGGAGGTATTGTGGTTAACTGGTTGGAATGGAAAGTTGAAAATGTGGATACTTTGATTACTTTTGATAAGTCCCAATGCCTATCATCATCATCATCATTTTAGTTTTTTTGCAATTAATTGGGGATGAGTCCCAATGCCTATCTCAATTAGAAATCTTTGGTTGCGAGGGTGTGATACGGGTAACAAATAGCATCTCAAGTGATCTCTGGGTAGGAAGCTGTGAGGAATTGAAGAGCTTGGTGGTTGGTGAGGAGGCCAAAGACAGCTCCATTTAATGCTCGAGGGAAGTTGTGGCTCACATCTTTGCCTAGACTAGAAGCCATATGTGTGCGTGTCCCACGACCATATTGCTTTGGTAACCTAAGGGAAATACACACATTGGAATGCAATAGATTGAAAGTGGTGTTGACAAAGGGCATAGCGCAACGTCTCAACAACTTGGAAGAGATGAAAAATTTTGGATTGTGAAGGATGAAGGACGTGATTGAAGAAGATGAAGAAGTCAACAATAACAATCATGGACCATCATCATCATCGTTCAAAGATAAAAAGACTGTAGCTACTACCTCTACCGCAGCTGAGCACTATATGCAACAAAGGTGTGTTGTATTGCTCACTGATTAAAGAAGTCAGGGTAGATGAATGCCCACAGTTAGATAAGGAGTCACTTGGTATCTGCAACGCAGGTAGGCTACTTGTCATCAAAGGGGAGAAGTGGGAAGGTGAGGTTGTTGAAGAGAGTCATGATTGGATGTGGTGATGCAGTATAAAATTTACCGGTGAACATCACCGATAAAATTAACCGCGTTTAAGAGAGAGAAATAAAAATGAGAAGAGAATCACAAACAGAAAGAACAAAATGCTTCGATACAAGTATTCTGACACTGGTCCATAAACAAAAAAGAAGAAAAAGACACGCACAAAGGGCTCTCTCTCTCTCTCACTCTATACGATCTCAAAAATCAATTCTTTTTCACTCAATCGAAATCCCCAATTACAATTCACATGCTATTTTTATAGGAGTTTATATTTTACAACCCTAAAAATAACTACATAAACATACCAAAGCCCCAACTCATCCAAAAGGAAGAAAAGACATAACTTACCAAAAGCTCCTTCATCTCTTATTTCTCATGCACTAACCCCAAAGATAAACTTCATCTAATACAATAAGTTCCTAAAATATGTCCTACCCTAGCCCCCCATGCAAAAGATAAGCTTTCCTAAACACATCGTGACCTGCTATCCCAACTCATAAAAAATGTACTCATCCAATTTATATTAAAAAAGATTTTATCAACTAAACTACAAAAACCCTATTGTAAATAATTAACCCTAATAAATAAAAATAAAAACTCTACCCAGTTTTTAAAAATTAATTACCAAAAAATAAAATTAAGCTTTGTGGCATCCAAATTTTAATCAGCATCATGTGACAGGAAGGCAGGTGAGAAAAACGGAAAGGGATTCCACTGCCCAAGAATCCCACTTAAATGATGGTGATGATTCTCACTCTTTTTTTTGTTGAAGAAAATGACTCTCTTTGCCCTGTTTTTTTTATGAAAAAAGTGTTGTCACTATCTCTCCCCCCTCTTCCTCCCACTCTCACTTGAACAAGACTTTAAGCTCTTTGAGCAAGCCTGCCCAATAACTCTCTCAATCTCCCCCTCATTTTTGTTAAGAAATTAATGGTAACTCCCTCCCATTTCTCTCTCTTATTTTTGTTTACCAAACTCATGGTGACTCTCTCTCTCTTTGTAGCTTCTTCGTAGGCGATTGTGCAGAAGTTCATCGCTATTGCACTGCATTGGTATTTAAAGATTCAACTAAAAAAACTTCAAACTACACCAAAGGTTTGAATTGTTATATGCATATGGAAATTTTATTTCAATAATTTTTGCAAACTAGACGTTCTAAGCATGATTTTCTCGTTCTAAACTAATTGGGTCCTGGAATTGGATTTTCTTAGATCAAGGGCTCTTTCTCTCACAATTAAACTCCATCGTGATTGGCATATCTTAAAATCCACCTTCTTACGAAATAGATGTTGGTGGGTAAGAGAATGAATTTTATTACACATTCAAAATAATGAAAAATCAATGTGAGCGACTTTTCAGTGTTGTGGAAAGTTGAAGTCGATTCACCAAACTGTTGGGTCACTACAGTATTCAAGATACCGTTCGGCTAACTTTTCAAAACGACCTCTAAACATCTACAATGGGGAAGTGCACCTTATTCTACATCATTCTTTATGCATGAACACCCAAACAACTTTAATGTCAAAATACACGTAACTTATCAACTATTTAATGTTTCAATCATTTTCAACTATTCTAACTCATAATTATGTGTATTTTGATAGACTTTTTGAATACTAAATAAAAAAAATGGTAAATATTAAATTATTCATCTCTTAAGTAACTTTTTATAAAGGAAAAAGTTTATATAAGGTTGCAGCCTCATAATGTAGAATTACATATGCGTCTCAAAAATCCATCAGAAAATGTTGTATTAATGATAAAAATTCACTAATTGATCATCTCGACATCGAGATGCATGAATATGAAAAAAAAAAAAAATTGAGTCCAAAAAATAATGCAACTTGTAGCACATTATGTAGACCGTCAATTTTTAAGATTTTCATATGTTTATAGATCTAATTGATTTTAACCATTTTTGCGGTTTAAAATTTTATAATTATTTATGAAAATAGATTTTAAGATATTCCTAATGTGTTTTTGCACCAACATTATATATTATAATAAATTTGGAGGTACGCCTTAATTGAATTTGTTTAAGGTTGCAACCTTATAGAGACCATACCCTTTTATAAATTTCCTGATAGAAAATGATGACGAAAATTTTATGATCTCCCCTTGATATTCTTCTGTCATTGATCCCAACCCAGTCAAATGGAAAGTTATCACACAGATTATATCTCCCACTTTATGATGGCTGAGAATTAATAAAAATTAAGATTTAGGGATCGTTTCCTTGCACCCAATCACATTATTTATTTATTTATGGATGTGGATTGGATTAGGTTTCCACCTTAAGCAATCAAAGTAAAATGCTCCTCCAAGCTTTGTAATAAGATGCAAATTTGACAGCGAAAAGTCTTAGGATTACTCAAGAATCTATTTTTATATCTAACGATAAAATTTTAAACTTCAAAAATGGTTCACATCAAGCTAATCTATAAAGATATGAAAATCTTGAAAATGGACGGTCCAGATAATGTGTTGCAGGAAGCACTATTTTAGAAATTAAAGAGTTAATTACGTAAGGACCTTAAATAAGTTACAAAAATGCTACTTGCTCCCTTTATAACCAAAAATTACACTCAAGGTCGGTCAACACGTCTTTTTTTTTATTGACAGAATTACCTCTCCGTCCAAGGATGCCATCCTCAGACCGCTTTTTTTGGGGTTAAAACTTAAGGTAGGGTCCGAGGATGCCATTCTCGGACCGCTTTTCTTTTTCAAAACTTAAGTTTTGGACTGAGAATGCCATCATCCCCAACTTTAAGTTTTGGAATAAAAAAGCGGTTCGGGGATGCCATCCCCAGACACCTTTTCTTTTTCAAAACTTTAGTTTCAGTTCGAGAATACCATCTTCGGACTGCAACTTTAAGTTTTGGAGAAAAAAATAAAAGCGGTCCAAAGATGGCATTCCCGGACCGCTGTTGAGTTTTGAAAAAAAAAACGAGCGGTCTAGGGATGCTATCCCCGGACCGCTTTTTTTTAAAAAATGGGATGGCATCGCCAGATCGCTTCATGTTTTTCTTTTCTTTCAAAACTTAAAGTTACGGTCCTAAGATGACATTCTCGGACCACTTTATTTTTTAAAGCGTAAGTTTCAGTCCAAGATTGAAATCCTTGGACTGAAACTTAAGTTTTGAGAGAGAAAAAAAAAAAAACTGTCAATCCTTGGACAATAACTTTTAAGTTTTGAAAGAAAAAAAAAATGGTTCGAGGTTGGCATCCTTGGACCGAAGGGATAATTTTATCAAAAGAAAAAAAGGTTGCATTGACAAACCTTGATTGTAATGTTCATATATAAAGAGAGCCACTAGTATTTTTCTAACTTATTTAAGGACGGTAAGTATTTAACTCAAATTAAATTTCTATCTTTTTTATATCCATACATATTGAATTAAAACCTTTTTCTTTTTTTTCCTATGGATTATTGGGGTGCGCCTTAATTCTACCTTTAGGGACGGATTTTGGCGGGAGTTGTTGATTTGGTATTAAATGAAAACTATTTTCCCTTGTTTTGTTGAGAACCATTATTCAACTACACGGACACATGCACAAAAATCCACGAGGCAAAAAACTCCACGAGGCAATGACCAGATATGCAAATCATCATGATGGAATAAGTTGTCCATTTACAACATTGTTGGATATGTATCCGACTAAATAGGAGAGAAAAAGAAAATAAAAGGGCCAACGAGAGTCCCTTGTAAAGTGTTTTGAGATAATTCCAATCATCCAAGGGTTGCCCTTTTAATCTGTAATGGATTAAGAGCTAAAACGTCAATGAGATGGACAATAGGAGTGTATTTGTAGTCTGGATAAAGATTTGAAAGCTCCAAGTCATCCTCTTCCAATTCCAAATTGGACTGCCCTGCAACAAATAAATAGTGCAGGATAGCTGGTCCCACATTCTCAGGATGAGGAAGACCTGCACCGTATCCACTCTAATCAGGGAAGCATAGCACAATAAAAATGAATTAATCTGATTAGTGAAAGTCGCAAAGTACATCCATGTAAACATAAAAGATTATACGTGATTCAAGATAAATTTGAGCTCAAAACACAAAGAGGGTTTATTTATTTATTTATTTCTCATCACAAGAAAGGAGGTCTCTTTACACAAGATAGAAACACAACCACCAAACCTCCAATGAAACTCACCTTACTTGTGACCTAAATTAGGCTGTTTACACAAGAGAGAAATACAACCTGCAAAACTCAATTCTAAATGAAACCCACCTAACTACTTGCGATCTAAATTATGCCATACTTAACCCCTCTGCAATATGTCAGACTCCAGCTATCTAAAATAAAAAAATTCCAAAACCAATCCAATGACTTTCTACCCAAAATAAAACTCTTTCAATAAAAAAAAACAACACTCTTACAAATCCTCCTTCAACTACATAATTCCAAACATAGGACTTGGGAGCAGCCTTTTCTATTCCCTACCGATTGTCTTTTCTTTGTTGCGTCAGCATCAATTCCCCATCAATTTGGTTTGTTCCAAACCTCAATTTTACAACTAATATTAGAAGAGAGTACATAGCATGGGACATCATATGAAATTTTTTTGTCTTTTTTTTCTTTGAATATTAAAGTTCGGAACATCATATGATGAAAATCATAGCTAGTGGATTGGTTGTAGAGTATTGGGTATATGTGGCCATTAAAAGCTTAGTTTGTAATTGAACTTTTTTATATAATGGAATATGAACTTAGTGGGAGTGTGGTCCTTTGTGGACCATACTAAGCAAACGATGTTTGCTGATACCGGATTGAGCTTGACGAGCTAAGCCAGTTGGTGGGGAAAAACCCATCTTACTTGGGCATAAAGATTAAACCTTTGATGAGGTTGGAGTATACTCGAAAGAGTGAGCCAAAGGACTGTGTGACCTTTGTGTGTGATGGAGGTTTTTCGAGATGGGGGCCAAAGTTTCATCCACGTACCATCACACGACATGCACATATGATAGCCATTTTTTAGAAAGCAAAGCACCTTTCAAGGTAAAGTTTGTACATGTGCAAGAGATAACCCCTACGCACCATAGAGCTATGGATTGCATCAAGTCTAGGTGATCTTGGTATGTCTCTAGGGGAGAACCTAAAATCCATAAACTGGGATTACAACCCTTTGCCCACCGTCTAGATTTTGGTGACCCACTAATAAGCCCCTACATGGATTGTACATCATGGACAACACTGGGTCGGTTTGAGAAAGAAATGTGGACCGTAGTCCACAGGAGAAGATGGAGTGCCCCAGAGTTTATTTATTTATTCCAAAACTATATGGATTATTTTCCCATCAAAACTATTTAATTGTATTTTTTTTGGTATTATATTATTTTTAGAATTATTATTTGAATTTTTTTTAGAACTCTAGGTATTTTATTTATAAAATTTGGATTTATAAAAACATAAATATTGATTTTTCATTGATTTATATATTTAAATAAATTCTAAAAATATTTATTTGATTTTAAAATTATTTAAAACTACATGGGGGGTCATTTATGTACAGTAAGCCCACCATGGCAAGTTGTGGGGGGGGGGGGAATGAGTTGCCATCACTTGTGGCTTTCCTTTTATGCATTCAAGCGTATGGTTGAGTGTAAAGACTTATGGTTGAGAGTAAAGATAGCCAATGTTTTGGAAAACTTATTATAATTGATATTTCTTTATTTATTTTAATTGATGGGAAAATGGTTTAGGAAATATATGATCTTGATGGCCAATCTATGAATGGATGATTTATTTCTCTCACGCCACAAGTCACCCAAGATCAATGGTGCATATTCACTCTCACGTAAAGAGGCAAGCTATGGAAAACCTTAAGAAATGTTAAAACCCCTAGAAGCACTATAAAAATGGATGGACCCTACCCAATATTCTCTACACCAATTTCTCTATCCCTCTCTCATAAAAACTCTCTACCTCCCCACTCATGGAAGTTTTGATCTCTCTCCCATCTTCTTGTAATATGGCTAAAGGGTTTAGGGTGTAGAAAAGAGATGCTATCTCTCTCAACTAGGTTACCAAGGTATTCTACCTAAGTTTGAGATTTGTGATTGAAAGGAGTTATTATCCCAATGGAGGATTTTTCGTAAACTTGCTTTCTTGAGAATGAGATTGATGGTTGACCATTGATTCCGCGCTATCCGAAGGTGGTGATTCAGTGTGGGGTATAAGAAAATTAGCTGAGTTAATCTCCGGCACTGTCTTCATTTTTTCTTGCCATATTTACTCCTTGTATCTTTTATTATTCCCAAGCATAGTTTGTATCTTCCTTTGGTTATTAAAAGAAGGGAAAATTTCTTCGTACCCCCCACTTTTTGCACCAATTTCTCAGAAGACCCAAGGATTTAAACTATTTCTTGAGGCATAAGTTCTCTATCTTTTCTATCCTCCAATCCCCTGCACCCTTTTGACCACATACTATTGACCTAAATAATTTGTGAAATGATTCAATTTTACCAAGTTAACCTCTCTGTCTCTGTCTCTAAACTCCACCTCTCTCTCACTCTCTCGCACCTCTCTCTCTCACACACCTCTCTCTCTCTCACAAAAAACCAGCTTGTGGCTTGAAAGGTTGGGGGCGCTGAAATTGGTGCACTAGCTTGTAGACCAAAGAAAGCTTGTATTAATGGCTGAAAAATGGGTGCATTAGATTGAAGAGTAGGGTTTTGAAACGATGGAGGTAGTGGGTTCACTGGTCTTTGAGCCATGAAGCTGGACAAACGTTGAGATGGAGGGCCCAAAGAAACAAAAGGCATCTAAGATTGAGGGCAAAAGGGACTTGAAGGTAGAAATCGTGGATCAGTTATGGTGGGCAGGCCAGGAGGGGCAAAAGTTGGTCCATGGCCGGTCGACCCAAGAATTTCCATGGAAAGAAGGCTCTGAACCTGTAGAAGATGGTGTAATAATAGCAAGGGGGCAACAGGAGGAGGTCGATTGAAGCCTGAAACTGAAGTAATGAATTATGGATTTTGTCCAACGACCCAAGGTTAAGGATTTCCATGAAAAGAAGGTTTTGCAATAGTTGCAAAGGAAGTGGGAATTAGAGGTTTACCCATGATTGGAGGTCGATTGAGCACTGAATTTGGAGAAACAAATTGTCTTTGTTAAATTTTTGAATCCTCCATAGAAATCTCTACGTATCGATTAAAACTCAAGAATATACAAAGTCCCATATATATATACGACTAATTAGTTATTGATAATGTCGAACTAATCTTATCAAGAGAGATATCCACATCCAATACAAGATAACTTAAAAATTAAAAACTATCCTCAACTATCTCTGTCTCCTCAACTATCTCTATCTCTACACTCCCCCTGAAACTGAGGTTGGGTGAACATCATTAGTTTATCAACGAGAAAGTCAGGACGAGTACGAGTCATTGCCTTAGAAAAGAAATCTGCAAGTTGTTGTTGGGAGGTAATATATGGGAGTGTAACTTCTCTGGCCAGAAATTTTTCACGAATGAAATGACAATCAACTTCTACATGCTTTGTACGGTCATGAAACACTGGATTTGAAGTAATACGTATGGCGCTCATATTTTGCGATTCTAGAGAGAGAAAATGGAGAAACCAGAATCCTATGTATTTTAATGAGCGACGAGGATGAGAAAGAAATTTCAAAAGAAAAGAGACAAACGACAACGACAAAGATATTGGCTTTGGCGCTTCTCGAGTTCAAAACAACTCCCTTTTTTTTTTTCTACTAGTGGTCGTATCACCTCCCTATCAATTTTTTTGAGTTACGGTTGCGCTTTAGGCTAGCACAAAACTAGGTTCGTCTCGTTTTCATGTACAAAGAAATATGGGAAATGGTGACGATCCAAATATGCCCACTTATATTGTCGTTTGTAGATTCAAAGAAGAGTCAAGATTTGATACCTGTGCCTAACCATATTTGGACGACAGTGAGGAGATTGAAATTTCAGTAAACAAAGCTTGACTTAGAGAGAAAGAAGAGACAAACAAAGCTTGATTTAAAGAGAGAGAAGATAATCAAATCTTGACTTAGACAGAGAGAGAGAAGAGGTGGCTCTTTGTTGATATATTGGTATCTCATCCATTCGTTATCAATACGTTCAAGGATCAAAGTGGTGAGAGAGAGAAGAGGTGGCTCCTGCCCTAGGGAATCGAATGAGCAGGGGCCAAGCTTTTCTCCCTCAAGGTTGAGTCAGCTGCAGGTTTTGCCTCCATCAAGAGAGACGATGAGATCGATTGCTCTGATACCATGTTAAATTTCTGAATCCTTCATAAAAATCTCTGTGTATCGATTAACAATCAAGAATATACAAAGTCCCGTATACATATATGACTAATCAGTTATTGATAATGACGAACTAATCTAGTCTTATCAAGAGAAATATCTACATCAAATACAAGATAACTTAAAATTAAAAACTATCCTCAACTATCTCTATCTCCTCAACTATCTTTATCTCTACAGGCTTTTATGGAGGGATGTCATTAAAGCTTAGAGGAAGAGGAGATCGATTACGTTGAGGCTCTAATGAAGAAAAATTTGCAGAAGAAATTGGAGGAGAAGAAAAGGGAAGGGCACTCCTTCCATGGAAATCTGATGTGAATCTAGGTTTCTCATACCCCTTTGGAATACAGAATTTGGCTCTCAAATCTTAAAAAAATGAGAAGGGTTTCTGCAACTGACTTTGGGTATTTAAGAGATAGAGAGAGAGATATAGGGGTAAGAGAGAGATAGATAGATGGATTTTAGAGAGAGATGGAGATGTTAATTTGGTAAATGATAATCATTTCATAAATTGTTTAGGTCAATAGTACATGGTCAAAGGGGTTAAAGGATAGAAATATAGAGACTTTATGCTGCAAGAAATAGTTTAACTCTTTGGATTTCTTGATAAATGGGTCCTAAAAATGGAGTTTATTGAGAAATTTTCCCTTAAAAGAAAGGTTTATATTCACATAGTTTTGAACACTACATTTGAATATGTGGATCCAACCATCACATACTGTGACTTAGATTGGCTCCACTCGTCCACTCAAAGAAATTCTTGATGGAATGTATCATAGTAGGCACCCTATTTATTATTCGTCATGCTCGAGAAATTATCTGCCATATACTCTAAAATTTGTCGAAAACGAGTAATAGAGTACATACTTTCAATGAGTTTAATTACTTCCTCTTCTGAGATATATCTTTTCTTTAGGGTTTTTCTGCATCTTTTCTCCCGCAAAGAGATCATATCAAGTTGTGAAATGATGTTCTTGGGTGGTTTGCAGATGACAAGGCGGTTGAGAGTGCAGACATCATCAACTGACCTTATTGTGAATGCAGCAATGTCTTCCTCAAAGTTCAGCACAGCTGCAAGTGTGAGATAAATACAATTAGAGCTCAGGTTACAAGTAACCAATCTTGTGTCAACTTAGGGAATTTCTAGTTATGCGTTGAATATGAGACAAATGATTCTCATACATATAGACTTCAAACCGGTTTTACAAGAAATGTTGTACTCAACGTTTTAAACTCTGCTGATGCAACTCAGATTCTACCGTGTAACTCGGCCTCAGCCATGGATCGAGGCGAGATTTGGACGAGTTAGCTGTACACAATAGTTTCAAACTTAAAGTACAATATTTTCGCAAATTCATATCAGATGTGTGAGAATGATTTACTGGTTATCACTAATAAGTGAACTCTACTTCACCTAGAGTTCGAATCCCATACTTTACCTTAAGAGATTAGTGAACTCTACTCCAACTAGAGTTTGAATCCCATCCTTTACCTTAAGAGGTCCTCTAAACAAAAGGCGCACTAACGAGGACTCCATTCCGTATATTCTTGATAAAAGAGGTACTTATAAAATATATTCTTTAAAAAACAAAATGATCCAGAATCGGATGAGTTACTGAAACTCGCTTGAGTAACTCACCTCGACCAGGTCCATAAAAGAGGGAGAGGGTAGCACTCTCACATGCGAGCGTTCTATGTATGCGGCCCCCATATAAAACATCGACAAGGGAACACTAGTTTGATATAGAATTCTTCGAACATCCTTAGAAACAACACATGCTTATCGTTAATAGAAAAACTAAATTGAATTTTCGATCAACTAGATCTTAATGTCCAGGCAAAAAAAAAAGTGTTCAATCCTAAGGCATGAATTTTTAAAGATAGTTTAAGAGTGTGTAACCATTTCTTTTCTAGATTGGTCATTAGGTTGTGTAGTTTACATCCCCATATTTTTCAGTCCTAAAAGTATTCTCAGCTAAAATTTTGTTGAAGGAAATAAATGTACAATTTGATCTCATAAGAGCATACGATATTATTCGATCACTAATATATGAATTATTCTTCGAAAGTATTCACCAGGCAATGAATATTTTACAGGAAAAAGTGCATCTATACATAGATGGTGGGGGTGTGTTATTTGATGGACTAAGCCGTCAAATGAAACACCTTAGTCATCTGTTGTCATCTGATGTTAAATAGCCATAATTTCTTCCGGTCTATTGTAGATCCTTTTCCTTTCTTTAGAGTTTTTATCTACTTATCTTTATTTAGGGGAAAAAAAAACTTTTCGAAAAACATCATTTAAGGGCTCAAAATTGTTGTGCGTGGAAATTCTAAACCTGATGGGTTGATTTTTGGCAAATAAATTATGAAAAAAAAGAATCAATAAAAACAAGCAACAAGCAACAAACAACAAGCAACAAGCAACAAATTTAAAGCAGGAAATAAATAACTGAAAAAGGACACCAGGATTTACATGTTTCGTCACAATTGTGACTACATCCACGGGCGAAGTCGATCGATGTTTTCAACAAAATCAAATAAAAAAAATTACAATGCAACTTACTTGAGAGAACCAGTGACTCAATCTCCTACAAAGCCTTATTCTCTACAATTTTCTTTCTTTGCAAAATCCCAAAAAGTTTCTCTCTATTTTTCTCTATGCACTTTCTCTCTCTACAATATTTCTCTACGATTTTCTTTCTCTGCAAAATCCCAAAAAGTTTCCTTCTATTTTTCTCTATGCATTTTCTCTCTCTATAATATATCTCATGACGAGAGGACAAACCCAAAAGTGCACCCACGTATGACCTACTTTTTCCACACATGCTTTCTCTCTCTAGAAAAACATATTTATATAGAGAGAATAAAGCCCCAAAAATAAGTACGATCAAACCAATCTCAACTTTCTTAACTTTATCAAAAATGAAATTTATCCCTATCCATGTGGACTCAAAGCCTCATCCTAATCTAAGTAAGACTTATCTATAAACTTAGATAATCGACAATAGGCTCTACCCAGATAAATAGGAAACCTAGAGAGATCACGTAAGGGCAAAATATTTACTTCCCTATCTCTGACCAATTTAGAGGTATCGAAAAAACATTTGTTTTCTAAAATATAGGATTCACAGCTCAACAAAATATGGAAACCTAATCGAAACTTATCTTGGAATACAAGACAAATCAACAAATCTCTGCCTTGACTTGAATTCTAAAATATATTCCCATCGACCGTTTTCTCGACACGCGTCTCCATAGGTGTTCACTTGGGCAACACATCAGTCAAGTCCAAGCATAGCTCGAACTTCTGTAATGAAACCGGCTTTGTCAACAATCTGCAACATTCTTCTTAGTGTCAATCTTAAGTAACAAGATATCACATTCAGCTATGATCTCACATATAAAATGATATCTGACATCAATATGCTTCATCCTTGCATGATATACCTAGTTCTTCACCAAATGTATTGCACTCTGACTGTCACAATAAATAACATTCTCATCCTGTCGTAAGCCCAAATGACTTACAAGCCCTCTAAGCCAAATGACTTCTTTTACTGCCTAAGTAACAACCATGTGTTCTATTTCAGTCGTAGACAAGGCAAACCGTCGTTTGTAATATCGACCTCCAACTAATAGGAGTTCCTGCAAGTGTAAGCACATAACCTGTATTAGATCTACTAGAGTCCAAATCACTTGCAAAGTTAGCATCAACATAACAAACAATCTTGTCACCAAATTTGCTATCTCTATCAAATGCCAGACCCACATCTGATGTACCCTTTAGGTAACGCAGAATCCATTTTATTGCATGCCAATGCTCCTTTCCTGGATTAGCTATATACTTACTAACTACACTAACGGCATGAGAAATATCTTGACAAGTGCAAATCATTGCATACATACGACTTCCAACTGCACTCGCGTAAGGAACACGTGACATGTATCCCTTTTTAGCATCTGAATTTGGAGATAATGCCGTCGACAATATGAAATGTGCAGCAAGAGGAGTACCCACAGGCTTTGAATTTTCGATCCTGAATCTAGCGAGGGTTTTCTCAATGTACTCCTTCTAAGATAACTACAATTTACATAACTTTCGATCTCTAGGAATCTCCATACTCAAAAATTTCTTTGCTGAACCCAAATCTTTCATTTCAAATTCTCTAGAAAGCTGAGTCATCAATTTACTGCTTTCTAACACATTCTTTGCAGTAATAAGTATATCATCCACATAAAGCAATAAATAGATGAACGAACCATCAGTAAATTTGTTAAAATAGACACAATTGTCATACTTATTTCTGACATACCCGTGTCCAATCATAAATGCATCAAAACGATTGTACCACTGTCTAGGAGATTGCTTTAGGCCATACAATGACTTTTTCAGCTTACAGGCATGTTCCTCCTTTCCTTTAACAACAAACCCTTCGAGTTGAGTCATATAAATTTGTTCTTCTAACTCTCCATGAAAGAATGTAGACTTGACATCAAGCTGTTCTAACTCCAAATCAAACAATACAACCATGGTTAGTAAAACCCGAATAGAAGTGTGTTTCATAACATGAGAGAAAATCTCATTATAATCAACACCTTCTTTCTGCGCATAGCCTTTTGCAACCAAACGTGCCTTAAATCGATCACCACCAGTCTTAAGTGACCCATCTTTCTTCTTATAAACTCATTTACAACCAATGGCTCTCTTGCCTTTAGGCAACTTCACGAGAACCCAAGTACGATTCTTTTGATGAGATTCTATTTCTTCGTCCATGGCTTCACTCCACCTGGTTTTATCCTGTGTAGCTTCTTTAAAAGTGGATGGCTCTGGGCTTGTGGCAGTCAATGCAAAAGCTATCATATCCTCAACATTGTACCGCACAACTGGCTTTTTTATTCTCTTTCCCCTTCTAAACTAAAGCTCTTCTTCAAGTGGAGTAGATTCAACGACCTCCTCATGGTCAACATCTTCTTCCAGTCTCTCACAGGGAAGTTCTGGCACATAATTTGGAGTATTTTCTAGAGTTGTCAACTCCACCTCTACTGCAGCACTACTGCTACAATTTTCCTTTTCTGCATCATACTGAATGTGCTTTAACATGACATATTCACCAAACTGAACATCACAATTGACAATAAACTTAGGCGACTTAGGATTTGGGCACCACATTCTATAGCCCTAACATGATTTGTATAATTAAGGAAAATACATTTCTTTCACCTTGAACTGAACTTATCATCCTTCACATAAACATAAGCAGGACAACCAAAAAATCTTAAATGAGAATAAGCAACAGGTTTATCGGACCATACCTCTTCTGATGTTTTGTAATTTATTGTTGTAGATGGTGACCTATTGACGAGGTAATATGCCGTATTGACCGCCTCAGTCCAAAAGTCCATCGACAAATTAGCATTACTCAACATGTTGCAGACCTTCTCTAAAAGTGTTATATTCATGCACTCAGCAACTATATTATGTTGTGGCGTCTTCAGAGTGGTGAAGTGACAAACAATTCCTTCGCTCTTGTAAACATTTGCAAACTCTGCGGAAGTGTACTTTCTACCATTATCAGTCCTCAAACACTTGACCTTCTTTCCAGACTGTCTTTCGACCATTGTTTTCCACTGTTTGAATGTGTTAAATAAATCTGTTTTGTTCTTCAATGTGTAAATCCACACCTTCTTTGAGAAATCATCTATGAAAGAAACAAAATATAAAGATCCGCCTTTTGAGACAACTGATGCAGAGCCCCAAACATCTGAATGAATACAGTCAAGAATACATTTTGTGGAACGTTCTGATGTGCGAAACTGTACTCTATACTGTTTACCATAAACACAGTGCTCACAAAAGTCCAACTTGCATTTCTTCATGCCATTGATCTTTTTGCGTTTGCTAAGTTCTGTCAAACCTCTCTCACCCATGTGGCCCAACCGCATATGCCACAACTGAGTCAAGTCAAAATCACTATCATCAGATACATAAATTGCTGCTCTATCGTGATAGTATTTCCAAGAACACGTATAAATTCGGTCTGATCTTCTTGCATTTCATCAAACCTAGAGCACCCTTAAGAATGTTCAGAACTCCACCTTCTCCAATAAATTTGCAGCCATTGGAGTCTAAGTAACAGGAGAAATAAGGTTTTTCTTCAAATTTGGAACGTGTCTAACATGAGTCAAGGTTATGACAACTCCATCATACATCTTGATGGCAAATGTCGCAATACCGATGTTCTGGCAAGCTGCATCATTTCCTATAAAAACTGATCCACCATCATTGCTTTTATATGTGGTGAACCAATCCCGATGAGGGTACGTATGATATGAACATCTTCAATGAAGAACCCATGAGTCTTTAGAGTTATCACAATTTGTCGAGATCGACAACACATTATATGTTCCACTTACTGAGCTTCCATCAATTATATTGGCGGCTTTAGAAGCTCGTGTTTCTTTTTCTTTGAGTTTCAAACAATCATTCTTAACTTGCCATTTTTTCTTGCAGTAATTGCAATAAATATTATTTTTTCCTGATTTGGATTGGGATCTAGACCGGCCATGTCTTTCATATCTCTTTCCACTTCTCTCAACAAATCTCCCTCTAGCCACTAAACCATCTGCATGTAGCTGAGCATTATCCTGTCTCGTTATTAAATTGTTAAAGAGAAGAGTCGAAGTCACATCCTCCATCTCTATGGTGTCTTTTCCATAAAGACATGTTATGACTAGATGCTTTTACGAATGAGGAATGAGGATAACAAAATTGTAGTATTATCCTCATCATCCATTTTAACATCAATATTCAATAATTCACAAATAATTTTATTAAAATAATTCAGGTATTCATGGATATCTGTACCTTCATTCATCCACAAGGTGTACAATTTTTGCTTAAAAAATGATCGATTTGTGAGGGACTTCGTTATATACAAACTCCCAAGTTTCGACCAAAGATTTGATGTCGAATCCCCATTGACAATATTAAATAGCACTTCACTCGATAAACACAATAGAATAGTGCTCATAGCCCTCAGATCTAAGCCTTCCTAATCCTCATTAGACATGGATTCCAGTTTCTTCGACTTTCTTTTCAGAGCTCTATGTAAACCTTGTTGTACTAGCAAATCTTGAACATTGATTTGCCAAATTCCAAAAATTACTTTTTCCATCAAACTTTTCCACCGCGAACGTTGCATTCAAAACCTTTACTACTATACAGAAACCCCCAAACCGAGCTCTGATACCATTTGTTGTGCGTGGAAGCTCTAAACTCAATAGGTCGATTTTTTGGCAAATAAAGTCCGAGAAAAAAAATCGACAAAAATAAGCAACAAGGAACAAATTTAAAGCATGAAATAAATAACTGAAAAAGAACACTAACATTTACGTGGTTTGTCACAATTGTGACTACATCCACGGGCGAAGACGATCGATGTTTTTTACTAAATCAAATAAAAAAAATTTCAAGATAATTTACATGAGAGAACCAGTGACTCAATCTCCCACAAAGCCTTTTTCTCTACAATTTTTTTCTTTGCAAAGCCCCAAAAAGTTTCCCTCTATTTTTCTCTATGCACTATGCACTTTCTCTCTCTACAATAATCTCAATAAGAGAGGACAAACCTAAAAGTTCACCCATGTATGGCCTACTTTTTCCACACATGCTTTCTCTCTCTAGAAAAACATATTTATATAGAGAGAATAAAGTTCCAAAAACAAGTACGTCGAACCAATCTCAACTTTTCTAACTTTATCAAAAAAGAACTTTATCCCTATCCATGTGGACTCAAAGCCTCATCCTAATCTGAGCAAGATTTATATAAAAACTTAGATAATAAACAATAGGCTCTATCCAAATAAATAGGAAACCTAGAGAGATCACATAAGGGCAAATCTTTATGCCCCTATCTCTTGCCAATTTAGAAATATCCAAAAAATATTGGTTTTCTAAAATTTGGGATTCACATCTCAACAAAATATGGAAACCCAATTGAGACTTATCTTGGAATACAAGACAAATCAATAAAAATATCCTAGTTCTAAAGTTCCATTCAACATTGTCGGCTTTACTTTTTAAGTTTCTGTTCACAGGATTATCTTCTCAAAAGTTTGGTCAAAAGTTCTTAAATCACCAATGTTCGAGGCTGAGAACCCTGAACAATCATAAGCATTTTGGTAGTTTGACGCGCTTAAGTGGCTCAAGCCTAATTATGAAAATACGTATAGTTATTTAGGGTTGGGAACACAAGATTGCAAAATGGCAAAATACCATTAATTCCATGTTGCCAACCCTGAAGAGCTAGAATTATTTTGATTATTTGGCGTTGCATAATTAGCATATTTAGGAAATTTAACAAACGTTTTGAGGAATTAGACGTTATTAAATGAAATTTAAAAAGTAAACCCTATAATGGTAAATGTACCATTTAGGATTTAGCCTTTGTAAGACAATTTGATCCAGTGTGCTAGGACTCCGTCCAGTCCACTTCCACTCCGTTGATTAATTTGGTCTCGACCTATGGGCAATGCATGTTGGGCACATAACTCGCTAGGCCCAAATAAATGCTAAAACAAATTGTATAAAAATGTTAAAAAATATAAAAAATGAGAAAATAATGGCATATTGGTTAGAAATGCTTTGAAGATTTTGTTAGTTTTTAAGATTGTTTGGGAAATTTCATATTTTCAATTTTTTAAAGCTATAAATCTTCTTTTTCTAGTAATCACTCTGTAATTCTATTAATCTTTTTATCTTTTTCTGATGCTTAATTATTTTTTGGAGATTTTTTATTTATTTATTTTTTTTTTCTCCCTTTTTTGGGGGTACCTAAGATGACATGGTAACTCGGACTCGGCTGAGTTACCCTTCTCAGTCGGGGGCCGAGCATTTAAGCCCTTTAATAGAATTTTCCCAAAAGGTTTCCTCGAGATATGTAATTTTAAGGACTTCCACATCATACAAGAAGTGGATTTGACACTCCATCAACACCTACCAAGAACCATGAAGGTCGAAATAGTGAATGGTGGGGTGAAATTAACATGCACAATTTAATAAAAGAAAGCATACCGTGCACCACTGGTCATCTATGTTACGCTTTTGTGGCATCTACAGTTAGTTCATTAGCATGATCTAACACATCTATGGTGGGTGGTATATTCCGTTTGTTTAGGCTCCATTTGCTTAGGATTTAAAAAGGATTGGACAAAATAGACTGTCATGTTTCGTACATAAGGGGTCGCAAGAACCTCAAGGTATAATAGTTAAAATTCAACGACTAGGGTATCTTTTTCTTTGAAGTCCCAAAATTCAAATTTAGACTTTGAGGGTAGTCAATACTACATCCTCAGCTTTTGATTTCACATTTGATGGCTAGAGGTGATTATAAAATTATTGTACAAATATAAATAGTATTATTTCATATATTCTATGACCAAAATCCACTAAATATTTTTTTCAGTAACTCGGGAGCAACTTTATATCCATTCGATATAAAAACGGAGTCAGGGCACATATTTGAGAATAATGTAAACCTCTGTTGAAAGGGAAAATTTTATATAGAGCCGAGGCTCTAAACAATCAAATTTGAGCCTACCTCAAAAAATTCACTAGAAGAGGTTGTTTTGATACCCAAATATATTCAAATTGATCATCTCAACATCAAGAAGCATGGACATGAGAAAAAAATAGATTTCAAGTTTGGAAATAATGTATTTTGTAATGTATTTTTGGACCACCAAGTTTCAAGATTTTCAAGTTTTCATAGATCTGTCGATCCACACTACTTTTGAAGCTTTAAGTTTTATAAATAAATGTAAAAATATATTTTAAGATTATCACAAAGATTTCCAATATTGAAATCACATTTCTTGATACTATTTGTAGGTAGGCTCTAATTTAATTGTTCAGAGCCTAGGCTCCATACAAACCGCACCCCTGTTCAAAAGTGGCTTAAAGGAATTAGAGCTTGATAATTCAAATAATGTATACTGTCAAATGGGATCCCACGACTATTAGTCATATCTCTTTCTTTTCGGAGGCAATTAAGCGGAAGGAATTGCAGCCTAACCATTAACCATTTTCCACCGGTTAGTAAATAGCTTGAGTAATAGGAACTTACCTTTTGCATGGCCATCCCCATAGATTGTAATCTCATCCCTTTGATGCTGAGGGTTTAGCAAGTAATCTACAAAGTAAGCACCAAAGCCATTCCCTGCCACAATAGTATATGAAATCCCAGCCTCTTTGATAGCCCTTTGAATTTCCTTCTTGTTATCAATTATTCTTTGGAATGGACGCAAACTATGCGCCCTACGGGATTCAACGCCAAATTCCGAAGGGAAAAATCTCTGCACATGTATTAAAACATATTTTAGAGTGCAAACAGATGAAATACCCAATCATATTTGCTTCTAGGCATGCAAAATTATATCACTATGGGAGGCTTACAGAGACAAGACAAGGAGAGGGGATGTCCTCCATCATAAACATAATTGGAGATTTTAGCTAGATATTATCTCTCATGTTTTAGGTGGGAATAGTAAGAATAGCAAAAATTTCAGACACGAACCTAAGATTAAAGGACGAGAAAAGAGATGAAATCAGAGTGCAAGGAATAACTAGGACTCGTATTGCATGTTAGCTCTTGCTATGATCAAATAATAAGTTACCTTAATGTTACCCACTTCCTTGATGGCATCAATGATTCTGAGTTGTTCCAAATGTTGGGGAACAGGCAACAATGAGATCACAACATCAATTTGTTGAAACACCGAAGGCAGCTTATCATAATCATCCAAGTACCCCTATTTTTCCACATGTTAGGTAATAATATTTCATAATTTTCTAGGGTAGAAATAAAGAATTAAAAAAAATATTACATGGGACTCCTGTAAACATACTTGTTCACCTAGTTAGGAATGCCGTTTGAGCACAGGTCGTATGCCTATATTCATAATGTCCATATATGGGAAAGTATATGATGAGACCATTTACCTATGGTACAAGATGGTCATAATAATCTTGACCATTGGACGTGAAATTGGGTGGCTGCATTTATTTCATTGACCAAGCTCAAAGTTTAAAAGAATTTTTTTTCAACTTTGTGACACACCCAAACTATCTGATTTCACATCGGATGGTTGTAAGCAATTGTGACCTCCCTATTCCAAAGGTAAATGGTCTCATTGTATACAATCACTCCATATATTATGGAGGTTTTTTGGAACATAACTCTGCCCTATTACAATTAGTGGTCCTCTAGGAGTCTCTTAGCCTCTAGGGCTGGTAATTATATTATAGAATTATTTGGCCTACGATAGTTTTTGTACGGATTTGGTGGAAACTATTGGTATTTTAGCTTTGCATATTAAATACCCGGATACATAATACATACTGACATGCATATTTCATCTACGTTTTAGATACCATCCAACGTACTAGCTGTGAAGACATATTATATGAGTGGGTCACACATGCCTGTCTAATTTTGAGGCTACTATTTTTGTATTAGTCCTTTCATGTTATACGAGTGGGTCATACATATCTGTCTATAAGTGTTCTTGTAGTTATTGGATGGAAATTTTGAATTATTCAAATCAAGATATGAATAATTCAAAATTTTTATTTTATTTTTTATTTTGATTTTTATATCAGACTAGAATATTTGGAGCGAGTAGATCGGGGTTGGAAGAAGAAAAATTAATGTGAAAATGTGGCCATAGGAAATAATTATTGTTTTTTTTTTGAGGGGTTTTTCTAACCAATTATTATGGTTTAAGGATAATATGAGTTCCATTGTTGTTATGGAGCATTACCCTTTATGAATAATAAGAGGAATAGAAGATTCTTCAAAGATTAAGGAAGGCAGAGAGGGAGGGGGAGAGAGTTGCTTGTTTTTGTTGGTTGATACCAACGGTGCAGGTATTGAGTGATGGTTTCTTGTGGGGACCTTAGAAAATTCATAGATGGCATGAATACCCAAATGTATGAACATAAAAAAAAAAAAAGAAAAAACGACAAAAAAGAGAAGGGTGTGGTTTCTATAAGGTTGCAAATTTAAACAATCCAATAAAAGCACACCTCCAAATTTTATTATCATATGTATTGTTGGTGTAAAAAGGTATTTGGATTATCTTGAAATCTATTTTTATATTAATTATAAAATTTTAAACTCCAAAAACGGTTAAAATCAAATAGATCTATAAATATATGAAAATCTTGAAAATGGACAGTCTAGATAATGTATTGCAAGATGCATTATTTTTGAGACTCAAAATCTTTTTTTTTTCATAGTCATACATCTCGATGTCGAGATGATCAATTTGAGGGTTTTTCAATATTAAAACAACAGTTTCCGATGGCTTTTGGAGACACATGTAATTCTACATTTTAAGGTTGCAACCTTATATAAACTTTTTCCAAAAAAGAAAGCAATGAACTTGTGTCTACAAATATTTTAAAATATAATTTATTTGAGGAAATTTCTCCATACTTTCTATTTTTAAGTTTCGTTTCACAATAGACCCAAAGTTTTAAAAGCTATCTTGGGGCATAAAAATTGTAGATTTTATTTCTTCGAACCCCCTGAGCTAATTTAATCCTGTTTTTTTAAGTCAAACATATCTAGAAAGACATGCCTTTTTTAAAAAGTCATCCTCCCAAACTTCTAAAGAGAGAAAAGGGCTTCATGGAGGTGAGAGGTTATTAGAAAGAGAGAGAAAAATGTGTTTGGAGAAACACGGGAGGAGAGAGAATTAGAGACACATGAAGATAGAGAAAGAGAGAAGTTTAAGATATATAAGTGAAGATAGAGAAATGATTGAGTTTAAAAAGAGCATATCTTTCTCTCAATTGTTTAAGTTAAAAATTAGGTTTAAAGTGGTCAGGGGGTTGGAAAATATCTTTTGAAACATTTGGTTTATCAAGAAATGAAACTTAAAAATAAGGGATATAAAGATATTTTTTCATTTATTTAATATTATTTTAAAGGGTGTGCTTTCTTTAAAGTTTCAATTTTAGAAATAAAAAATCAAAGGCACACTCAAATCTTGCCGGAAGAAAGCCCCTAGGATGACCTAAAAGTCTATTCCACCAAATTATAGCTCCAAGTTAGGGAACGAACGAATTAGACTTCAAGAGTGGGTTAAAAATTAAACTTTTGGGCTATGTGAAATGTGCTTTTATTAGAAATGTGAAACTTTTACAAGATAAAGTAGTAGTTCTAAAAGGAAAAAGGTAGCTAGTTCCGGCCTGAAAATTGCTGCTATGCTTACCAAAAAATCGGCGCTCCGAGAACCTAAGAAAATGTCGAACACCATTAGAATTAGTTGACCTTAATTTTGCTTTGTTTGGAACCCCTAAAGGCCTCCAAATGTACTCCATGAATCGCCCACTAACGTGGACAGAAGCAGTAGATTCGAAGAATTTTCGATGGCTCCAAATTTATGACTTTCATGAATATGTTTGGGGAATGTTTTGGAGTTTTTTTGCAGGTTGATACAGTGGGCGGACCACTAATTTTTTGGTTACCAATCAGAATAACCTATCATTTCCATACTAATATCATGTAAAAATTGTTAGGTTTATGTAGTCTTTAAAGGCTTTATGAGTTAGATGAGCATTTTATATAGTGAAACATAAACTTAGTAGAAATGTGGTCCTCTTGTAAACCATATTAGGCAAATACGATTTGCCAATACTCGGACTAGGCTTGACATGCTAGGCCAGATGAGTTTAGAAAACCCCAAGGTACTGAGGCATAGGACTCTACCGAGAAGGGTTTAGTGGGTTAGCCCTTCATGAGGTCGGAGTATGTTGTGATTAGAGCCGAGGGACTTTGTAGCCCTTGCGTATGATGAATAGCCTTTAGAGACAAGACTAAAACCTCAGCGTTATATTATCACACGACATGTATATAGATAGTCGTTTTGAGATTCGCTAATGAGGGTGAAGCGTATACATGTGTGAGAGATTACTCATATGCACCATAGACTCATAATAGCATCATCGTTTGGAAGACCATGATTTTTTTGTCTTTAGAGGAGAACTTGAAATCTATAAACTGAGAATGCATCCCCTAGTTTATTGGCTAACTTTGGTGGTCGAATCATGAGCCCCTGCAGTGGATTATAGGTCATGAGAACTGCTGGGTAAGTTTGAAAAAGCTAAGTAAATCGTGATCCACAGTTGAAGATGGAGTGCTCCCGTGTATTGATAAATTCTAAGATCTGACGGATCCGATTCCCATCAAAATTAATCAAAACTAATTGATTTTACGATATATGGTTTTTTAGAATGATTATTTGAAGTTTTGTGAATCTTTTGATATTTTAGTTTTTCATTTACATGTATAAATTAAGATAAATTAATTTTTCAATGTTATAAATAAAATATAATATTTGAAAATTCTAAATACAAAATAAAATATTTTCTAAAATTATATGGGACCCTCCATAAATATAGGTGTCCAACATGGGCTTGGGTGAGACCCATGTGTGGCCACCAAACGTGGCACGCCCCACCCACATGGACTAACTTATTCTCATAGAGTGGGTGATAGTTATCCCTTGTTTGTTGACTTATCTTTTGGGTATAACCAACTTTGCTGGTAATGTTGAATATTTGAAAGATTTAGTAAATCTCGAATCAAGATGGCTTAATCAAAGTAATAAATATTGAATATAATAAAATAAAAAATATATATTTTTTATTCATTTAAAGATTTAGTAGGACTAGATAAAGGAAACGAAAGATAAGACTCTAGCTCATCTCATTGAATCTTGACGATGGATCACAGAGATGACTCAAATCTCTCATCCAACAAGTCTTCTTAGATTGACCGTCAAGATTTGACCTTACGGATTGAGGCAAACTCCAAAGCATCGAAAATCTATATTAAGAGGCCCTCCTACCTCATAAAATCTCTACACCTATTTTCTCTTATCTCTATAAGGATTTATCTCTCACTCTCTCTCTCTCT